ATTTTATTGTTGCCTCTAGGGCATATCACCATCAAGAGGTCGCATCCACCTCATCTGTCAGCGCCCCGTCCTCGGCTTCGTCGTCCTGCAAGCCGGAGAACATCGCCCGGAGAAACTGGCAATGGAGGTAGCGAGATAGGGAAGTTGCGGCATCACATGGAGCGGATGTGGACATGCATGAACAACTTTCGCCTCCCCCCTCCTGCAATGCCTGGAACCTCGTACCCCATCCATCCGGCACCCGACAAGGATTACACCGTCAGACCGGGTTAGGACAGAGGAGGATCCGACCGTCGTTTGGGGCATTCTGGAGAGCTTTTCTCCCGCGCAGATGCCAACAATGGATGTGTGTGACTCACCACAGCTCGTTCGGGTGTGAAGAAGCACGAGCAACAGCGGCGCCCGGGCTACCCACGACATGTTCGATGGAATGACACAAGAAGAGTCGGTATCTCCTTGTTCCTCCTGCCCGTTCAACTTTGCATAGGCCATGTTCAATGTTTTGCATAGAGCGCTACTTCATTTCGTACATGATGAATGCTTGCAAACCATGATCATTTGGGAGGTGATCTTGTCGGGCATGATCAATGATAATCAAGGTTTGACCCAAAAGGACTACCAATTGGGGACCCAACTTGCCCTTCATTTGAACCTAGGACAACATCAAATTGTAATCCGAGCAAGAAGAAGAAGGTAAAGATGGCAAAGGCAATAGGTCCGACATTCTCAACTTTTGAGGATATCTTATTGGACAAAACTTGGTTGACCACAACAATGGATCCATTATGTGGCACCGAGCAAAAGGGGAACAAGTATTGGGAGAAGATTTGGAAGGAATATCATGAACAAAAGGAATATGTGGAGCCACATCCTATCGTCACCAATCGCAATGTGGCATCTCCCCAATATCGACGGGGGATCATTCAAGGGGAGGTGAACAAGTACGTCGGCTACTACTCACAAGTGATCGGCCACCCTCAAAGTGGGATGGGTGTGACAACTCACGTATGCTACTTCATATTTTCATCATTTGTGCATGCTTGTTTTTTTTGCATTCTTATGCTCATACGTATTTTGTTTACTAGACGGCAGTGACAGCCACTATGTATCACGGATCGGAGAAGAAGTCACTGCTTTTAGCCATTGTTGGATCATATTGAATGGCTGACCAAAGTGGACACAACTTGTGGCTGATCTCAAGGCCGACAAGAAGAGGAATGATGGCTCGAGCTCCCACCAATCAATTGTGTTGGACGATGAAGAGGAAGTTGCGTGGAGAATGGAAGGGCCACCATACCAAAAGATAACCGACAAGTCATGGGAAACAAGTGAGAGAAGGCAAGGGCCTCCCGTGACGCCGCGGATACCAAAATGTGCTCCACATACATGGGCATTTTCTTGGTGAGGGAGAATAAGAAAGAGGAGAGGTACAAGATGATGGATGTGCAAACGGAGGATGGGTGGGGACCGAAAGAGGACGGAGAAGAAGTTGCAAAATGAGAGGGAGAAGATTGAGTTAGAGAAGCAAGAGGCGGCGATCAAATGGGACCTCGAGAAGGCCAAGACATTTGGAGAGATTAAGCTTGAGAAGGCCAAGGCATTTGGAGAGATTAAGCTTGAAAAGGAGAGAGGTTACAAATCAAGGACCTCTTGGATGAGCATGCCAAGAAGTGGTTTGCGGAGAAGAAGAAGAAAAGATCAACGAGCGTATGGAGTACGAGGTGGCGAGGGCGGCTATGGCAGCAGCGGAGCATGCGACAAGGATGCAGGCAGAGCAAGAGGCAAGGATGGAGGAGGAGCGGGTGGCATGGATGGCGTCCGGCAAGCAGGCAGCGACTGATTCTTCACTCTCGGACATTGATTTCATTTTGGCATGTACGGATTGTTGAACTATGATTTATTTTTGTTTTTTCGTATTTGTTTCGATCTGTTGAATTGAAATGATTTGTATCGTATGATCGACGTGCATGGATTTGAGATCGCATTTGAGATATGTGGGTGTGCGGCAACCTAAATAAAGGTCCATTCGGCGTTATTTGTGGACGCGACCGGGCGGTGACTGGATTTGCGAAGTTCGGCTGTAGATGCTCTAATGGTACTTACCCGGGTTTGGTCGGGTTTTTTTTACATCATCTGGGTTTGGTCGTTCTAATGATGCCCCGCTCTTTTTCCTCAATGGAACAAAACAAATTCTTCTGAATTCAGATGCATACGCACTCATAGGAACCTGCCGCCGACTTTCCAGTTTCACTTTCCTTTGGCTCGTGCAGCAAAGATTAAGATTTCTTGCTTCTGTCTGAGTGTTTTGTTTTAACGGAAAGGTTTTTTTGTGAAAACTTTCAATATATTCATCTCCAATCATGACAATACAACGAACATCAGAAATAATAAAAATTACATCCAGATCCATAGACCACCTACCAATGACTAGAAACACTGAAGCGAGCCGAAGGCACGCCACCGTCATCGCCCCGCCCTCGCCAGAGCCGGACAAAACTTGTTGTAGTAGACAGTCGAGAAGTCATCGTGCTAACGCCTCATAGGATCAGCGCAGCAGAACAACAACCGTCGTCGATGAAGAGTAACATAGATCGGAAGGATCCAACCTGAAGAAACACAAACATAGACGAGCTACAACCAGATCCGAGCAGATCTACCAATGACAGATCCGCCGGAGGCACACCTCCACATGCCCACCGACGATACTAGACACACCACCCGAACGGGGACTAGGTGGGGAGGACCTTATTCCATCTTCAGGGAGCTGCCGCCGTCTCGTCTTCCTGAGTAGGACACAAACCTCAACAAAACTTGAAGAAACATATAAAAACAGATCCCTCCCGCTGGCAAAGGCCGGGATCCACCACGCCGCCATGGCTGTAATGCCACCGAAGACAAGGCGGACCGGCAGACCGGCGGTGGGAGACATAGGAACCCTATGCTTTTCTTGGGAAGGGGGCAGAGGAACACGTGTTTTAACGAAAAGGTTCATGGCACAGATTCGCTCGGGAGGTTCAGCCCCCCTCCCCTCGTGACATGAGGGTAACCGCATCCGTCGCCGCCGGGAACCTGCCCCCCTCCGCCCACCCCCGCGGCGCCGCCGCCGGAAGGCCGGCCGGCGAAGTCGCGCCGCGCCCCAGGATGGCGGCGGCGGGGCGGATCCGTTCCCCCGCAACCCCCACGCGCTTCCCCGCCCCGCCCCCGCCCTACGGCCCAAGATCCACCGCCACCGCGGGGACTCCCCCCGCCTGCATCCGCCGCGCCGCCGCCGGAGGGCCGGTCGGAAAGGCCGTGCCGTGCCCCAGGAAGGTGGCTGCAGGGCGGATCCGTTCCCCCCGCACCATCTACCCCCACCCCTTCCCCGGGCTCTGCGTCTTGGTGCTCCTGTGCGGGGCCCTCTTCCCAGTTGTTGCACGTCTCTGCTAGTCCGACGGTGGGCACAGTGTGCCGGCCATGGCTGCTCGGCGCCGCCCCCTGCAGCCCTCCTCTCATCCCTCACGCGATGGCAACGAGACTACAGTGTTAGTGGCAATCTTGAAGCCCCTCAAGGAGGGTACTTGCTGGAGCTGCTCCTGTCCAGGAGATCTTGGACCCGCGTTTCTCCGGTGTTCATGGCTGTCAGCGTTCTTCGGCGGGTGGCTCTGGCCTCGATGACCTAGCGGTTGCGTTCCTTCCAGCTCGCGTGGCTCCCCAATGTCCCAACGGCTATGGCCACGGTAGCTAGGATCTGCGTTCCTCCAGTCCTAGCTTGCCGGCATTGCTGTTCACCGTCGCCCGACCCCCCTCGTGGTCTGCTTCACCTCCTGCCCTACTTTGTACGCCTCAATGCCTCCCCTTTGCTAGATCCGTGCTCGTGGGTTCAGAGGCGGTGCCATCCTCTGACTGCAGATGTAGCCCTGCCAACCCCCTTCCGACATGGTGGCTCCAACCGACATTGGCCTCCTCATCTTCGTTTTGAGACACGGTGGCTATGGGATTGCTCAGCCTCAGGCCAGGGAGAAATCCCTACTCGGCTTGCCGACGCTGGCAGCGGCAGCATCTGCGGATGTCGTTTCCTTCTTGAAGGTGTTGTCAAGGCCCTCGGCTGCGCCCCTCTTTGAGCTTAGGAGAAACCCTAGGTCTGGTTGCTCCGGACTGGATGGCGACGGCAGCTCGACGTTGTCCTCCTTCTTGAAGGCGCTATCTTGCTCGCTCGCGGTGTCCCCTGTTTCGGTTTTGAAGATGTTGGTGCTCTTTTTAGTTCGGCATTGCCGCGCTTGGGTCGGGTTTTGTAGGTTTAGCTGTGATGTATCCTCTATTCGGGCCGAGCATCCCTTGTTCCCCTGCTCCGGGCATCATGTTCACACATGTCTGTGTTCATGTCATGTGTTTTACCCTTATTTGTACTCATTATATTTCTTTTATCAATGAAATGATACGCAAGCCCTGCGTATTCGCCAAAAAAAAATGGCATGGATTCGCTGGGCCAGATGTAGATTTCTTGTAGCAAATCCCCGACGAGAATTACGGTCATTGGTCGGCATTTCCTATTACGTGTGGGTCTTCCCCGATATGCGGTGCACCTTTCTGAGGACAGAAGTGGATTAGCCACTGATCTAGAAAGAGAAAAATAGTAGCTGGTTAAGCAAACTGCTGAGAAAAATCGGCAACCGGTAGGACGCGGAGATCTGTAGGCAATGGGTGGGAAACCACCCCATTGCGTGGCGCATAAAACAAGTGTCGTCAAACTAACTCTCGCCATCACTCCCTTTCAGCAAGAGAGTCCACAAAGAAGTACTCGCAGCGATCGTACGTATCTTCATTGCATATACACTTTGAGCAATACATCTTTGAATATTATGCATCGATCTTTTTCCTTTTCTTTTTGTGATGGTAATTCTTGACCCGTCATTTTCTATCGTGTAGAATCGACGCGGCAGTCAGACCATAGTTGTGGCTCCGGAAGAGCCTCATGCAGAAAGTCTACTCTTACACCTGGAAATGTACAAGAAGTTGAAACACTAGTAGGAGTGTCGTGCACCGGCCAAGTAATCACAGCCCCGCAAAAATTTCAACACACGCAACTCAAATTTCACAACGTGTTTACACCTCTGTACCCCATCTGTACGTACTATCAGTACACTACGCTAGTTTCACGTCTCGAGACCCCATCGACGACCCGGGATACCGGGACGGGCGTACACACATTTGTTCCAGCTAGTTGTTCCACCGCCCACGCGATCCAAACGGAGTCCCGATCGACGAGGTCTATCTCCCGGCGGTGCCGCCGCCGCGGGCGACCACGGCGCTGCCGTAGTCCTCGACCGGCACGGAATTGCGCTTGATGAACTCGAGGCACTCGGCGATGGCCTGCGCGTAGAAGGAGTTGGTCCGCATGAACGACGCCGCCCTCCTCGGCGCCTGCTGCTGCTGCTGCTTGTGCTTGCTGGCCGCCGCCTCGCCGCCCGGGGGGCACCACCGCTGCGACCCGTTGCCGCCCACGAGCGTCCTCGCGCTGCCGTTCCGCGGGCAGGAGCCGCCGCCTCTCCTGGAGAGCCTCCTGGCGAGGTGGCGCGCGTGGCGGCCGACGAGGCCCAGGAACGTGAGCAGCTTGGCCCGCAGCCGCCGCACCGAGAACCGGTTCCTCGCGCCGAGCCGGAACCCCCTCGCCCGCCGCCACCTCCGGCCGAAGCCGAAGCCGATGCCGAGCCTCGCGTAGCTCTCCTCCGGCGCCGGCGACAGGCTCATCCTGTGCGTCGTGATGTGCCTGTCCTGTTCACCAGTACGTGGCGTGCGTGCGCGCGCTCTGGTGCGTGTGCGTCCTCCTGGCTGGCCTGCGCGTGATGATCTGATTCTGGTGCTGGTGCTGGTGCTGGTGGTGGTCAAGTGGCGCGGCAGGGTGGGTATATATGTCCGGTCGGGGCGAGGGAACAAGGCAGGAAGGTAGGTTTGAATCGGGACTTTTTTGGCGAGAGCGACGCGGGATCCCGGCCGGGACATGACAAGATTACACAGCCTATTAGTTTACGGTGCTGATGCTGGGGAGAAGGCATTACGGACAAGCAAAAGCCAGGCACTATGACGTGTCCGTGTAAAATGTGATGGGAACCTCTTAGTGTGCTGTGCGCTGCCGCACTGGTATATTACGACCAGTTTGGGCGGTGGACGGACGGACCAAGCACTACTGGGCATGCATGCGTGCTGCAGTGACTGCTGAACATGCCAGCGAGCTGGAGTGAGCTTGGCTGGGTGGACGGTCGACACAGTCACACGGGTGGTTAATCTGAATTAACAAGTGGTGACCGGACGGATCTGTCACGAAATCCCTGGGCACGCGGTATATTCAGGAGGTGGATATGCATGCGCATGGAAACAACAGGGCACGCCCCAGTTGCACGCAGACAGTTTGATTCCTTGCCTCCCCCGGATCACCGTGCGCGCGGGTGATCGATGCGGGCAGCGCGGATACACGCTGGTGTCCAGCTGCTGCTCATGCTGCCCTTGTCCTGCCCAGGGCCAAATCTTTTCCTGTGATACACTGCTAGCATGCTGGTCACCGCGGTGACGTTGCGTTGCATGCCCTCGGGGTTACTCGATCTGATCGGTGATCTTCTTCTCCGTAGATGAAAATCAGTTCAACGAATTCGATTGCTTCGCACGCGTTTCAATCACATGGCGAAATCCGACGTGAAATTAAGGTTAGCGATCAACAAGTAGAGGTCCGGAGCGCGCCACGCCGGCACGGGTGCGCGCACCGCCCGCGCCTGCCGAGCAAGGGTGCGTCATGCATGCGGGGGTGGGTGCGGCGAGGCGGGGAAACGGGTGGTGGCCGGCGCGCGATCGAGCGTGACCCACGCCCGCAGTCCGCACGCATGCACCGCGGCAGCCGAGGTTGTCGTCGCTGGTGCTGGCGGCTGCGGCCTACGGCTTCCCCAGGGCAGGCGCTGCGCCGGAATCTGGGCGATTCGGCGCGACCTCGCGCGGGGTGTGTCGTTCGGTGGCCGCTCACCTACGACCGCCCGGGCGCCCGGGCCGGTGTGTGAAGGGGACACGCTTCCCAGGGGAGAAGGAGGGGAGGCCGGAGTGAAGGGGACACGTGTGGCGGTGCCGGCGTCCATGTCGTCTTGCCGTTTTCTTTTTGCTTGCGTAGGCTGCAGGTGTTGGTGAGCGAGGCACCACGTGTTCCAGCGGGCACGCGAGGTGACTAAGAAACGAAATGGGGTTCGGGAGGAGGATTGTTTAGGACCTTTTGGCCGGAGTTTGTGATGATGAATTTGACTCCGGAGTGAAGAAGGACGGAGAACGTATGGTTGCTTCGCTCCCCATCCACGCGCTTAATCATGCTGTTCTTCTTCTTCTCGTTCGGAAATGAATAATGGGAAATGCGCACGTTCGCTCTCCTTATTTTAGGGCTTTGCTCGTGGGATCTGATCTGCGCTGGCGGTCTTCGCCCCTTGCCTCTTCACTGCCTCGAGGCCTGGCGGCGTGTGTTCACGGGTGGTCTGAACGTACAGGGGTTGTATCTGTGAATTTAGGGATCCGGTACGAAAACTAGTACTCCCTCATTTTCATAACTAGATGGTTCCCCCACGTTGTTGCGGGGAAATATTACCTATAATTGATGTTTTACTATGCAAACTAAGTGTCCTAAAAAGATTTGCAGAATGATTTGGAAATGATTTTGGTTTGACAACAGTCTTTGGAATGATGCATGACTATAATGCTACTCCCTCTGTCCCATAATGTAAAAACGTTTTTCAAACCATGTATAGTTTGAAAAACGTTTTTATATTATGGGACGAAGGGAGTACATAGGTAAGTAATATTGATCCTTCTACTTATTTCATTCAAAGTTTGGACAATAGATAAACAATCTGAATGTGGGATTATATTGTCATCACCCATGGAACCAACTGGTTTAAAGCTTCACTATAAGCTACCAAGTCGGCCTCATCCGCAAGGGAAAAAACTTTCAAGCTACAACAGAAACATCACCACCTTGGTATACCATATAAACACAAATTGCGAGATCAATAGTAGTATATTTCAAAAAGGTAGGGCTACAATCCAACGGCAAGAGTTACTCAATACATGGGGTCCTCTGTCGAGCCACACAGCTGTAGCCCGTTCAGAGTGACTATACCTTGCCACGCAATCTGCAACACTATTCTGAGACCTATGAAGTTTCTGAGAAACAAACACCCTATTGATCACTAAGGACTTAATCTCAGCAACTAAATGACCATAAACCGAGCGATATAAGCTAGTGCTAGATAAACAAGAAAGTGCAGTAGACGAATCAGACTGCACCCAGATCAGTTGCTGCGTATATTATCGTGCAAGCGCCATACTGATCATCAAAGCATGGATCTCCGTCTCGAGAGCATCATTGCAGTTAAACAAGAGCGGTATGTTGAAAAGGTCACTGTACCATCATGTCTCCGTAGAATCATCCCAGCCGCCGCCGTACCATCCTCATCCACGAAAGACAATCACCGAGAGTGCCGCCGTGTTGCGTGGAGGCGCAGGCCACTTCAACACCCTAGTCAGCGGTTGATGCGACAAACGATCCCCAACTCCATCAGCATCTTCCCTTTGATCGTATCTTCCGTGGAAAACAATTTTGCTAGCTTAATCGAATTCATATAACTGACAAGAAAGTCTGCGGATACAGCAGCCGGCGTAGCCTCCTTTCCGTGTGTTACATCGGACCGTACTTGCCATATACGCCATATTAGCATAATAATCATGCAACATGCTGAATCAGAACATTTTGCTAGCCGTAGTAGTAGCCAGTCACTACTGTCTAGTACCTCCTCTTTGCGTGGAATAGGCCAACACCTACCCATTGCATCCCACAGCTCAGCCACATACATGCATGTAACTAACGCATAATTGTCCCTACCTCTTCTCTCCCGCATATAGAACAGATAGCATATGTGTTTATGTGTTGGTGTGCCTTGTTCTTTGCCGTAGCTAATGCACCAGCCACCACTTTCCACGCCATGATCTTCATCTTTTGCGGCACACAAGCTTGCCAAATCAAGTTCCATAACTGTCGCTCGCCTCCGAATGCGCACTGGTTGCACCGCCGGTAAGTTCCTCATCATGTTGTAGTGTGGCCAGACGGTATGCACTACGAACCATGAACAACCCCGACCGCTCTGGGTGCCAAGCCAGAAAATCGTCTCGGCGCCGTGGGGAGGTTCTAATCTTGAGACTTTGTATCACATCCGGCTGCCAAAAAATTTGTCTAGTCGCTCCTTGATCCAGGCACCATTCTAATCTATGAAATCAGATAAACGATTATACCTGCAGTTCCTTTCCAGGCACCATTCTGCTGTTTGGCCCCAATTCCCATCTCCCACCCTCCATATCATCCCATTCTTAACAAGCTCTAATCCATACTCAATACCCTTCCAAACAGCAGATACATTACCAAAAAAGACTGTGTCCAGCAAGTTCCCATTTGGAAAATAAGTCTTGACCGTGCACAATCTCCATTAGAGCTCCCATGTACATTTACTTGTATCCATCTCGCATGAGGAGGTAAAAAATGTCATACAAATGTCATTAGTCCTGATAGGGTCATAAGGCTTCACCTTGTAAACATATGTGGATAGCATAACTCTGCAGGAAAAACTAACAAAGTAATCCACTAATGGGTGATTATTATCTTTACAAAAATGGAATCATCAAGGTGGTGTCAAGCTTCCAAAAAAACAGTATCTCAACCCTCAAGGTTCAACCATTCATATGCAGGAGAATTTGTGGTTGACATTGCTGAGTAAATAGGCAATTTTCGACTAATTTAATCCATAAGTAGATGACTAGCATGGCATTGCCAGAATTAACGACATACTGATACTGATCTAAACAAGCACGTACTGCGCAAACAGTAGACAAATCTACACATGATGCTAGTACTGCTAATACGGAAATAATCAGGAGAGGGATAAACGCGTTATACCCTCTAATAGGCCATGCAGAAGCTGCCGCGGTGGTGGCGGCAGCAGCAGCGCCCTCGGCGGCCTTCTTGTCGGCCTCGGTCTTCTCGGTGGCGGCACGTTCGGTGTCGGTGGACATAGTGATGACAGAGACGACGCAGACGTAGAGGAAGTAGTGGATCAGAGGCGAGCAGTCGCGTAGTCGCTTCCCAAAAACCTATTCGCCTCTCTCCCGTACAGGAACCGGAGAGATGGGGTTTCAGGGACCTGCTCTCCCGTCGGCCATGTACGCGGCGAACAGGATGGAGTCACCAGCGGTAGCAGCAGCAAAGGAACACGTGGGCGGTTCGCGTGGGAGTAGATGTGATCTGTTCGTGGCGGCTAGGGTTTGGAGACACCGCACACTTATATAGGTGCAACCGCATGGAGGGACATGGGCTCGACCCACATCCGAGTCCATGACAACCCATGATCGTACGTCTCAGATCGTGGCCCAACTGTCAGAAAAGTCTTCGTTAGTGACAGGTAAAAATAAGCGCGTAGGTGTGAGCTCGGCTCGGCTCATTCCCGCAACCTGCAGCGCATCGTGACGAGGCGGGCGGTGGAGGAGGAGTGCGCGAGGGCCTCTTCTATTCTCAAGCTCCAATAGCATGTAGAAGAGAATCCCTTATAAAAAGGTCCAACTCCTTCTCCACTAGCGGGGTGGGACTAAACTTCCCACTACACCTAGTGCCATATAACCCACATGGGCCCTTAGAGATTTTTCTGGAATTGTTGGATGGGCCTAAAGCCCACCCCATA